GGCCTGAACCCTCAATCAACAAGATGTGGAGGGATGATGTGCATGCTCCTCTATCCAGACCTGGCTAACAGAGACCATACAGATAATTTTTGGGATCACAGATTCCAAAACTAAAATTGTTGTCATGCAGGGTAAAGGAGAAAAAGAATCTCTGGACCTGGAAGGGCATAACTGTGGTCCTCTTTGCCCTCCTCAAACCACCAGCTCCTTGACAAACAGCCCATTTGCTGTTCCCTCCCAAGGCACCACACAGCTCTACCAACAGTGACAGACCACACTGCAGCTTGTGTATGACAGACACCACCTCCCTCTCTCCAATGTCCCTTGATACAAAGGACAAAGCAATGCCTGTACGAGTGTCACCGATCCATGCTGTTTGGCTGATCAACATCATCCCAGGCAGAGACATACCACAGCTTCTACTGGAAGGGAGCAGGAGCAGCTCCCACCAGCAGAATGCCCTGCTTTGTCCTGAAACGGAGCACAGCCCTCTCACCCTTTGCCATATTCCCACCCGCCTTCCCGGCTCCCAGCCTTCAGCCCTTTAACACCCACAGTTTTTTCCGCTCTGCTGTGAAGCGATGAGAAATCCCCTGCCAGAGGACGTTGTTCAAATGGGTTACTGAAAAGAAATGCAATTCCCTACTCCAGGCGAACAAGCTCCTTCTTTTCCCCTTGAGGAAGAAGGATAATAGCACAGCCAGGGGAAAAAAGACTATCCCCAAAGCCTGATGTAATAATATTAAATAAGAAACTGAAGGGGTTTGGCCAGGAAAATCCCGAGTTCGAAAGAATAATTGCTCCAAGAGATTTAAGCCTACAGCTGAGTCACTAAAATGAAGAAACCTCTCCTTGTCCATAGAAAGCAAACAAACCTTGGGTCATGCAGCAAAACTTCTGTATGTTCTTGTTACAAAGAAAGAAGCCAAATGCAATTAATCATAATCCCAGAAGAAAGGATGAAATCTCTGTGATTAGCTCCCTAGGCTCATCTTTCCACTTTTGAAGTCTAATCCAGCCTTCTTCTTTCACCTTTCATCCACAGCATTGCCTTGAAAGTCTACTACAAATGCCAGATCAGTTCTCTCTAGGGGTACACAGTCACCTGCAGCCTGTGATCCTCTAACAGCTTTGCAATAAATGTGCAGGGAGGGGGGAACATCTGCAGAGAGCAAACCGAGCTCCTTTTCTTAGTCACCTTTTGTGATTGGGCTGTTATGGTGTTTGCAGGCTACCCAAGAACCTGGGGACCTTGGCTGATCTACAGGCATTATTTTCAAGCTAGGCATTTTATATTTACTATCCAATCTAACAACCAGAAAACACTATTTTATTCTTTTTCTTTAAAAAGCAAACAAGAAACCCAAACCAAAATACCCAACAGAGAAACATGAAAGCACTTTCCAAATGGTTAACATTACAACTGCTTGTTTTAATAAATTGGCTTATACCTCATCCTCAGGTGGTGTAAATTTGTCTGACCATCACCCTACCCACAGAAAGCATGTTCTTCACAACTGTATGCACTGTTTGTATAGAGGCGAGTGGACAGGGCTATATATTAAAAGCAAGGTCTCCAGCAGTTAAGTTTACTAAGTTGAAGCCAGCTGGCAAGCAGCATCTTTAATTGCAAAAGGAAAAGCCACACTCTATAGATGAAACATATCCAGGTCTAAAAGTCACAATTCCTTTGCTACAGCTTCATTCAAAGTTTTGGAAAACATGGGGAAAAGGTATAGTACTTCAAGAGAGGAAGAGGAAGGGCTGGAGACAGTGGCTACAGCTTAGGAGTGGATGTCAGGATCTGACATCCAAAAAATCCTATGCAAATCAAAACAAGCCATTCAGCTTCCCTTGGGATCCCTTAACAAATAATGGTTGACAAATATTATTCCAACAATAAAAACAACAACAGACTGGCTCGTTAGGTCAAATACATCAATGGTAAATACAATACAGTGGAATAATACCAAAATGACATCAGCTGAGGAACTGAGACTGGTTTCTACCCTGTCTCTTGTATACAAACCACTGCTAGTCTATGAATAATGCTGTCAACAGATGGGGAACGCTGGCCAGCTTTGTGGTAAGGGAAAGCAAAGAACACAGACTGGACAGAAATCTTCAGCTTTGCTCTTCCATGACATAGCAAAAACGCTTATTTTCAGAGGAAGAAGAATGGGTCATTCTTCTGTGAAAAAGATGGAAGTAATTATGCAGCTCCAAGTGCAACTGGAGCCTTCCTGTACAAATGTGGGAAACAGAGGGATGATTAACAGCCGATTTGCGGGATACGGTAACAAGGCCAAGGAGCCCTCAGGTATGACCATAATGCAACACCCACTGCTTTCCCTCCAGGTCAGTGCTGCAGACACAGCCAGAGGTGCTGGTGATGCTCTGGAGGATGTTTAGTGGCATGGAGCTGTCTTCATCTGCCCACTCACCACCAGCATCAGCCAAAAGGCTAAAAATCAGTAGATTGCTCCCCCTTTTCTTTGCACAGAAATCTGGCAGAGGAGCTAAGCACAGTGTCAAAGGAAAGGTGGTATTTGATTGCAGAAAAGGTTGCTACATAACACCCAGTGCAATCTTCTCAGCCTCAAGCTGCTGTTTATAAAATCAAATACCTTTGCATGTCAGGGTAGTCCAGAAGGATCCTGCCAGTGTGCTGGACTTTGTCCCTTGTTAATGGGAATTTCTACCATCCTTTCAGGAGGATGCACAGCTCCTCATGTAGAAAACAAAATGCTGCCGGCAGACAGGCTGCTTTCCCTAGTGCTGCTACAGGACAGAAGAGCCAACCCCAAAACTACTGCGACGGGATGGATGCTCTGGCAGTCACACATGAACTGCGAGCCGAAGCTGCCCTCCACCGGATGCAAGGGAAACAACGCCCTGTGATGGGAAAGTCAAAAGCTATGTAGTTTTCCAAGCACAAGTCCCTTACTTTTCCGTAATTACCACCAGCATTCACTTTTCTCAGTGTTATGTTTCAGGCACTAATGTAAAAGCCAGAAACTTTCAAAATAAGGGGAGTCTGGAAGCATCCTGTTGTCTGATAGCATCAAGTCCCAGCATCCAAATGCTGGAGTGCATTCAAATATCCCTAACTAATGAACTGAAACAGGGGATTCTTTATCATTAATGATTTTTCCATAAACCAGCAACTGATGCACATGCTGGAAAGTGAAACCCCATAAATTTTTGCTAGATAACAATTCTTAAATATGGGCATATAACCAAAGATTAAGCTGACAACTGAGATAACCTTTACTTTCAGACAGTTGACACACAGAAAGGATACAATCACTGTATTTGATTAAAAATAATACTGATTAAAACCCCATTTAAGCATCAACAGCTATAAATACTTTAAAATCCTGAATTATGTACATCCCCGATTTTAATTTTATGTAACCATATACCAACTACAAAATGAATCCTCCTAGCCAGCCTTGTGTCAATTGGTCAACACAGAACAGGCATCAACCATGAGAGAACTAAAGGAAACCTTTTAGGTTTCAAGTGAGAGGAAGAAAACTCCTGAGACTGTCTGCAGCAATTAATTTGACCCAATGCTGTCAAGGTACAGCAGCAAACAGAGTTTTCAGGGGCTACTCCCTAAAGCAGCAAAGTTAAAGTCTTCTAATCATTAAACTTTGTAAAGATTTGAGACGCAAAGTAGCATTGCTGCAGCACCTGCATTTATGTGGACACACAACAGGGTTCAGAGAGCAATGTGTGACACCCAACACCATAAAGGAGCATGCCCTGAGCACGTATCACCTCATCCAGTCCACGGTGCTTATGGCACTAGGACAAGTATCATGAGGCAAAAAAAATCAACAACGTTTAACTTCACAGCCTGGAGTTCATGCAAATTGATTTTTAACAAGCTAGCATTGCGGTACAAAGGAAGGGAGGTGGGACACAGGCTAGTAAGGTGGCCCTGGGTCACCATGGTGGTGAGAGGCAGCATCAGGAACACTGGTGGGTGAGCCCACAGTGGTAGCTAGTGGACACTGACCCCTGCCTGGGACAGTGACTGACCCTTGCCAGCGACAAGCCAGATTCCTGAAAACCAGAGCTTCCCCTAATGATTTTCAACCTCTGTTCTACACTGTAGCACAGCTCTAATGATCACAAAGTTTGGAAAAAGTTATTTCCATGCTCACCTGAATCTGCAGAAGCAGGTGTCCATAATAAAAGAAGTAGAGCAAAATACATGCTCAAAACTTCACAAGGGTTTCTGTTTGGTTTTTTTTTTGTTCCCCACCAGAGAGATGCTGGGAAATCTTCCAGGAAGATTACAGCCATGTGTACTACCCTGCCTGCAAAGTTCTCTGACACACACCACCTTTTGTGCTTCCTCTACTAGTACTGAACAGATACTGGTAAATTCACTAAAATCAGGCATATATTTCCTGTTGCAGCACACAAGAGAAAATGTCAGCCTGCTAAAACATGCCAGGCTGTGCAAAGCAAATAGGGAAACGGCAGGCATGGGCTTCATCTTGCTGTGACAGGGCTAGACCTCCTCACTCTTTTCCTCCCACTGTCCCAGGCTTGTCTTCCCCTTTCCTAAGCACCCACCAAGTGCACCAATTTTCCCACAAGTTTCACACTGCTCCTTATTTCCATTTCTCAGTTGTACAACACTGTTTCTTAAAAGCAGGCTATGTACTAAAGTACGTGCTGCTTTTCAGCACACCCTGACCCAAAGAGAACAACCAGGAAACAGGCAGACTCCATTTCCCAATTTGACTTGTTTTTAAATCAATTTAAGTAGACAGAAGATGAGATTTTCAACAAGATCTCCTTAAAAACCATGGAAGTAGTTCTTTGTAGCAGTATGGAAAGCAAAATTTTGAGTTCTGGTACAATCCTCTACTGCCACCAGCAGTAAGATATCATCAAAAGCTGGGGGAGAAGTAAAATACCCCTTAGCAGCTCCTTCAATGGTTGCAACAAGGTGAACACTGAATAAGTAGGGCACTCACCCAAATTTGGTGGAGAGGACACCTCCTAGGACAGAGCCGATGATCATGCCTATTCCAAAGCAAAGACCCAGCTTCCCCAAAGCATCAGCACGTTGGGAAGGAGTAGTCATGTCTGTAATAACCTTCTGAGCACCTGCAGAGAAAAACAAATCCCTAGGAAGAGGCTTGCCACAGGGTCTGAGCAGCAAACACACAAATTCTTAGGCCACAGAAACAGCGCCTGCCACAGAACGGCCCTTGCACACTGCTGGTGTGGAATTAGTTCAGCTTGTCAGTCATAGGAAACAAAACCACTCAAACCACTTCACAAGATGCAAGAAGAGTCTTAACATCCTATCAACCTGAGTCCTCTTGCATGAGTTCAGAGACTTCTAGCAGCTAAAGGTTTACGGTTTTTACTAGAAACATCTAGGAAAGACCAACAAAAGCAGAACAGCTTAGCGGGTAATAAAAGGTATTTTTGCAATTCCGTTTCACTTTGAACAATATGCTCATTTTACCATCAGAAAGGGAAAAGTTCTCCTACAAAATATCATGATTGCAAGAAGGCAGCTGAGAATTTTGGGATAGCTCTGCTGCCAGCAAGTGATTTCACTTGTGCCTGAATGATGAAGTCCAAGCAAGTTGCTCAAGATCATACAGGAGGATGGACCTGGGACTACAGGCTACTAGCCCTGCTTTCCATAAACCAATAAACCTGCTCCGTCATATGTTCATCATTTCATCCCTTATGATTGTCAAATGTTCCTCCTGCCTTCCTTCATGCTGTTGAGCCTGCTGACTTGAGCAATATGAGTAAGAAGAGAGGACTCTGGCAATAAAAGCGATTTGGAAAGCCCCTCAGCCCTGGCCTACTTTACCTGGTAGCCCATGCATGAACACTGCTGGCAGCCTTGAGAGGAAGAGGATTGGGATGCTGGTAGATATGGACATAAGCAGGAAGAAGGCACTTCCAGACACACAGGAAAGAATTAAGGCTGCTCGGGCACCAAATTTATCTGCAAACCTAGTACAGAAATGAGAAAAGGTTGTCAGAAGTGGGACCATGCAGGTCATTGCAAGAGTGATACACCCAGATGGATGGATTTGCATGGCCACCTCACTCATTTATTCATTGTGGAAAGCACTGATCAGATCTCAGAAGTGCTCAGTTCCCAAAAGAGGACTGGATATTCAGAGATGCTACCACAAAACAAACAAAAAAACCCAATAAACAAAAAACCAAAACAAGCCCCCCCAAAATGTGAGCCTTGCCTGGAGGAGGAGTGCAAGGACCAGCATTGAAGCACCAGCTGCCTACCTGGGAACAGGAGGACTGACACTTTGGCATAACAGGGGAATACATCAGCAACATTTCCATGATCATTTCCAGACCCCTCATAAGCACAAGATAGTATGTGCTTGCTTAAGTCTCCTGCTCTGTCATTCCAGTAAATAAACGTGGCTGCTAAACAGCATTACAACAGCTCAGCAACTCATTTAACATTATCTCTTCAGAGCACACAGTGCCCTCAAATTTTACTTTGTGATTCTTAGAGCTGGGTCAGGCCAGGGAATCAGGCTAGCTAATTTTTTTGGTTCAGGTTCAATGGCAATTGAAGTTATTTCAATTTCTTTCCAGATGATGTTCAAAGCAACATTTCTCTTTCAGCATCACTTAAAAAAAACCCAACAAAACCAAAAACAAAACAGTTTTCTATTTAAGTTCAAGAAAGACTTCACAATAGTGACTGAAATTTGTTTCTACTGGAGGAAGAAAACCCCAAACAACAAAACAGCTGAATCGTGTTTTGGTTCAGGTTTTATTCAACTCCAAGATACTTTAAAAAGCTAAGTTAGACAAAGTCTGAGAGTACCGCAGAAAGGGTTCTGAGCAACTGGGACTAAAACAGGCCTTAGCTTTTTTTCACTCCAATTCCTTCTTTCTTTCTCTTATTGAAGTTGCATATTACGGTTAGCTATGCAAGGTAACATTCATATGCTATTAGTTGTGATTACACTAAAAGAAACAACCCCCAAAAATGCCAAGCCTGGTCTACAAATAAAACTAAGCATAAGTAATTAAAGGGCTTCACATTGAGAAAGAGGTACAGGTCAAAACTTCAGTGTTTACATGAAAGCCAAGGAAGTTTATATTAGCTGTTTGTAACCTAAAGACCACGGCTCACTACATAGTCCAGGGGTTTTTTTGTTTTGTTACTGAAGAGTAAATTCAGTGCTTCATCTTCTCATGGCTCTTTAGGAGCATCAAGCAAGAAGAACAAGGAAAACTGACCTAAGCTACACATTTTTATTTCTTATCCCACTCCTTTCCATTTTCTTTTTATCTACCTTTATGCTGAGGTCAAAGCAGCCTCACATCTAGGAAAATCCTTTTTATCTCAAACTTACATTGAAAATTTGGCTTCAATCTGGCAGTATACACCTTCAGTCCCATCTACACCAGTGGGAACCTAGACCTGTATGAATTCTGGTTCGCCTTTTTCTTCCCTTCAGCATCTTCTCTAGATGTTATTGAATGACATGTGCAGAGGAAAATCAGACTTCAGATGGCACCAGCTCCAGGTCAGAAATATTACTCTAGATTTGTATATTAATAGAAAAAGCATTCAAATTGGCCCCTTGCACCATCTTCAGTCTTAGGAAAGCGTTTTCTTCCAAACTGCAGTGGAGAATTTGATGCTACTGTTATTAATTTTAAAATGTGTATTATGTTAGCGTTGAAGGGCTTTTAGAGATCAGATCCTTGAAGTGCTACACACCACATGCTAGAGGATCTTGCAGACCACTGAGGCACACAACAGCTCCATATCCATTTATTACTTTGTTGACCAGTAGCAAAACTGAGAAGAAAAGCTAGGATTTCTCATCTTAATTTTATTTTTCTGTCTCTGGATTACACTGCTCTTTCAATTTTTTTTCTGCTTTTTGGGAATGCATTCCCCCATTTCACAAAATTTTTTGGACTGTTTACATTTTATTAGGAACAGAAGCATGTGTTGCATGGGGTAGAGAGGCAGAAACCCTGAGTCCCTTCCACTTATTTTTATATATGACCTTACAGATACATTCATTCTTAAAAATTCATGCAAGTCTAGCTTTGTGTTAAACACTGATGTAGATACAGTGAGATGCAGCTGTAGAAATAACATGACTCTCAATTATTTTCATTGATGGCTCTCCTTTTTTTTTTTTTTAGGTTATCCAGTCACAAGACATTTCTTAGATTACACATGGCTATAAAACATTTGCAGGATTAAGCTGTTAGGACCTGGGCCAGAGTCTCTGATAGTTTAAGCCTGTTTCCAGTGTATTGTTACACTTAAATAAGAGTCGTTAAAACATAGCTAAGTTAATAAAAAGGCTGCTTCTATGTCGCAGTATTTCTAACTATAGTATTTGTTCTCCCCTTACCCATTTATAAAATCTTCAAACATTTCAACAGGACCATGAACCAGAACAAAATGATTTTTTATTATAGTAAAAAATATCTGGCCTTTTTCAGCTATGTAAAAGGTCATGAGAATTGTTCTCTCTTACCTTCCAAAAATGGAACCTCCCACAAGCTGGAGGACACCAAAGGTTGTCTGGAGGTAGCCAAACCCCACTGTATCCAAACCTATGCTGTTTGCCAAGTACTAAAAAAGAAAAAACAAACAATAAAACCAGTAGGTCAGAGGAAATGAGGTATGCTGTATTTCTGAATAAAGACCTTACTGTTTTGGTGGAGAGGACTACAGCTCCAAAAAAGCACTTCCTGCAGTTCCCCATACCTACAGATGAAATCTTCATTGGGTCAAACACACCCTGCTAATAAATACCAAAGCCTCCATCCCACAACATCAGTTAATGAAAATCAGGGGGATGTGATCAAAACCCTCAGTTTTGTACCAGCTGACAAATCTGAATCATCCTTTACCTTTACAGTCCAACATAGCTGAACATATTCAGTTACTGCTAAGTGGAATGAGGTAGATTTTAAACAGCCTTCCTGCCTCCAGACCCTGCACCTGCGGCAGCCCAGGCACCACCCAGGAGATGGCTGTGGTAAGGTCTTGGAGCTGTTGTTTAATTGAGCAAGCTGGAATCATTGCAAGCACAACATGGGCAAAATATTGCCTTTACTTGTAATCTGGATGGTACACCCACAACCTGGTCTTGCAAAAAACCCACAGATGCACACCTTGAAAAGCCACAATCCTACAGGGCTTTTAATTTAAAAATGGGGACAGCCATTTCTGATTCATGTCTTTGTTTTGTGTCTTTTGCTGAGAGTTGTTTAAAACTCTCAGCGAAGTTCAGCTCTCAGAATTTGTGGAGGTGCCCCAATCTAGCCTGCTTCCACAGTACATGCTCTGCACCCAGGTCCCCAAAACTCCCCTAAAAGATCAGTAAACAACTACACTGACCTCCCATAAACAAATTCTCAGCCTACAGGCTCAGGGCACCATGGGCTTGTTTAGCCCCAGAAGAAGGGAGCAGTTTGCCTTTGCAGGCAAAAAACCAGCAGAGAGTTCTCCCTGAAGGTACGGGCTCACCAGAGACAGGTGGATAGGCATATCAGGAGCTCACAAGAGCAGGAAAGACACCCAGGGAGGGGGTAAAAGGACCTGAGGTACTTATTCAGGTTGACAGCCACCTGAATATGAGCCAGCAGCATGCCCAGGTGTCCAAGGCAGCAGATAACATCCTGGCCTGTATCAGAAACAGTGTGGCCAGCAGGGCTAGGGAAGTGATTGTCCCTTTGTACTCAGCACTGGTGAGGCCACACCTCAAATACTGTGTTCAGTTCTAGGTCCCTTGCTACAAGAAAGACATTGAGGTACTGGAGCACATCCAAAGAAGAGCAACAAAGATAGTGAAGGGTCTAGAGCACAAGTTGTATGAGGAGCGGCTGAGGGAACTGTGGTTGTTTAGTCTGGAGGATAGAAGGCTGAGCGGAGATCCTATTTCTCTCTACAACTACCTGAAAGGAGGTTGCAGTGAGATGGGTGTCAATCTCTTCTGCCAAGTAACGAGCAATAGGACAAGAGGTAACAGCCCCAAGTTGCACCAGGAGAGGTTTAGACTGGGTATTAGGAAATATTTCTTCACCAAAAGGGTTGTCAAGCACAGGAACAGGCTGCCCAGGGAAGTGTTGAGTCACCATCCCTGGAGGTATTTAGAAGATGTGTAGATGTGGCACTTAGGAACATGGCTTGGTGGCGGACTTAGCAGCGTGTGGCTTACGGTTGAACTCAATGATCTCGATAGTCTTTTCCAATCTAAATGATTCTGTGATACCAGGCAGAAAAGTCCAGTGAAAAGCAATGAATCCCACTCACAGCTGGTTTATTACACCCTAAAAAAAATCCACTTCTGATCTGAAACCTCTGGTTGCTGCTGCCTGATTGTTGGGTCACCCTCCCACTGCAAGCAAGAAGATGCAAACCACATCAGCTCCACCCAGAGCTATCAGGCCAGGAAAGGTCTCTAGGTGATACTGCAGTACAAATAATAAACCAGCTTTTACTGCCTGGACATACCCTGAACACAATCACAGCTTACCTTAGCAGTAGGAATACACTTTCCCCTCTCCTGCTAGAAACTCTCTGGATAGTTTTGCTGGAAAGCTACATAGCCTAGCATTGAAGGCAAGGTGTGTTGTGAAACAAGATAACCCATACTCACAGGCATGACTCCCATCTGCATGAAGACGAAGGTCAGATCTAGGGTTAAAATCACATAGGCAGCAAGGATCACTTGTCCCTTCTTGACATCTTCTGAGTGGCTGCTCTTCTCCAGGGTCTTGCTCCTCATTCCCAAGGCTTCTTCCTTGACTCCAGGGCTGGTGTTTACATTCATAGTGCTCATGGAATGACTTACTGCAGGCTGACGGGCTGAGAAATGACACAAAGGTGCTTTCTAGCTGGGAACACGAAACATCGGTAAGGTGCAGAAGCCGTGTGTACAGTTCAAAGCTTACAGTGCAAAAGGTGCTGAGTCAGCATGCCAGGGATTTATTCTTTCTTTGTTTCTTCCCTCCTCTTTGCTTTCTTGCCAGGCAGGATTAAAGGTAACCATGTATCAAACCAGAGATCTCGTTCTTCAGCCTTGTCCCAGGTGGGCTCATTGCTTCAAGTACCATCACAATGAAGACCAGCTTGAGAGTCCCAGCAGAGTGAAAGCGGACATTGCCCCAGACAAGAGCACGTGACAAAATCTTCAACTTTTTAACTGTTTAACTTCTTTCACTTTTATTTCTTCTGGTGGCTCAGAAGAGATGACTGTTTTAATTCTTCATGAAAGGCACTTCGGTTTTATCTTCAGGGGTTGCAAGTGAAGCTTACAGCAGATCACCTATTTCCAAGTCCTTGTGCTTTCTGCAGTATACAGATCCTAGAACAAACAGATCTTACATGCAGTTAGAGGTGCTCTCATCAACATCTCTACTTGAGCCATTTTCCCTCCTTCACCAGGCACTGCAAATTTATGGAGACTGAGCTAGCAAATGTTCATATATGACTCCACTCAGAATACAAATTACCAGCCAATGCCAAAAAACTTAAAGAAGAATAAAGCATTAAATCCACACAAATCCTGAGGCTAACTGCAAAGTAGGGAATTAAATAAACAAAACTCATTTGGCCTTTGGGGTTCTTGTTTGCTTGTTTACTTAGGGTTTTGTTTGTCTGCTTGCTTGATTACTTGCTTGGGGGTTTCTTTGTTTTCTTACTTGTTGAATCCTGGTTGAGCATCATCTTTATTTTAAAGAGAAAAAGAGGTCCCAATGCTCTGATTTTGTAGAATCACAGGACTTTTGGTAGGAAGGGACCTCAGGAGATCTCATCCACTCTCCTGCTTGAGCACATCAGCAGAGCTGTGGCTTTTTCTAGATAAGCTTTGAAAATCACCAAGAAAAGATTTGCCCTTTCCCTGAGTATCTGTAAGGAAGGTTTTCCTAATGTGCACTCTTTGAATTTTTCAAGCTGTGGTTTGTGGCCATTGTCTCTCATGGTATCAGCTGCCACTACCAAGAGGAGTCTGTCTGCATCATCTCTGGAGCTGTTCTTCAAGAAGTTGCAGGTGGGTGTTAGGTCACCCCAAACTCCTCTTTGCCAGACTGAACAAGCCAAATTCCCTTCACCTCTTTCAAAGACTACATACTCTAGATCCCTGACCTTCTTGGTAGTCCACCAATGGGTGCAATCCAGTTTGTCCACAACCCTCTTGAACTGGGAGGCCCAACACTAGGTCAGCCTCACCAGCACCAAGCAAAGACAGAATAACAACTTCCCTGGATGTTCTGGCCATGCTCTTCCTCAGATGTCCCATTACCTACTTTGCCTTATTCTTGATGAGCATGCACTGTTGGTTCACACAGCATCGTCATCACCCACGGTCCTCACGCTAGGGTTGCTACACATCCAGTTGGTCCCCAGCTGGCATTGATGCAGGTGGATCTTCTGCGCCAGGCTTCGGGCAAATTGTCCTCACTTTCAACTTGCTGAAAACCTTGAGGTTTTGGTTGATTTGGCTCTGATGTTTCAAGCAGACTCTCCAACCTGAGGCTCCACTACTGACCATGTCAGCCAGTCCCTCTAATTTAGTAACACCGCTGTTCAGAAATGGAGGGCTGACTCACTGTGAAGGCTGACACAGACACATCAATACAGGGACACATGCCAATGTTTGCTGGCTTGGATCCAGAGTGGTTGTCAGGACTCCCAAGCTTCCAACCAAGCCCTGGGAGAGAGAACTATAAGATCCCTGGGCACGCCTTGTTATTCAACACATCACTACAGAGACGCAGGATTTGGTGAGGGCTGCTGGGCCCTCCTGGCAAATGAGGGAGACTAACAAAGGTTTAATGTTTCACCAGGGGTGGGTACCATATCTCTGGAGGCTGAACAGAAACAACCTTTTGCAATCTCAGCCAGTGCATGAATAAAAAAGCACCTTTAAAGAATTACTTTCCTACAGTGATACCAGCACTCAAACAGATCCAACCCACAATGCCGTAGAAGTTGTACTTGTTACTGAAGAAGGAAGATTACCCAGTATGTATCCCAATTTAGCAAAGGATCAGTGCTCAACATTTGGTTCATCTCAGTGTGAAACAATGGATTTGCCTGCACTTGAACGTCCTGCAGCGCAGCACAGCACCATCATCATCGCTCCCTGGTTTGTGCTGGACAGGCACGATGTACAGATCACCAGCATTGAATAGAAGAGTAAAATTAATGACAGAACTCTGTTTCTGAGGGTTTCGAGACAACCAAAAAAGCAACTCATGCAAATGCAATGTGAAACACTGCTTACGGGAAACATTGCTGACATGGACTTGAAAAGCGTCAGTATTTTGACTGGCGAGTTTGTCTCAGCAGCAACTGAAAACAGATCCCAGCAAGGCGACAGAGGAAAACAATGACTTGCAGATGCAGCCACTCGCCACCAGATCGAGCCTCATCCTGCCCAGGGCATGCAGTGCAGCCAGCTAACCACTCAGATTTAGCTGGTTTTTACTGGCATTGACAAGGGAAATAGAATAAAAAACAGTGGAGTTCAATTTTCAGCCTCTGGGGTAAAAGACACAGTTCTGTGAGACAGGGACCTAAGCTCAGTGCCTGCTGTGGAGGTGACCACAGAGAATGAGCTACAATCACCAGATTTTTTCCTCTGCATCCCCGGATGCCTCTTGATGGCTCAGTGTCCAACCCTACTCCCTAGCATCCCAGATTGGGCTGCAAGTAGGAAAGTGCCCTGGGCCCAACTCATCAATCTTCTTCCAGCAATAGTCTCTTCAGGCAGGATCATTTATCTCCCCATCCCTGCACTTTGGTACAGGCAGGACAAAGGGAAAAGGATGGCAGTTTTAAGCCATCTTTACAAGCCATGAGCCAAGCCATGTCCATGCTGCCCCACAGACGCAGGGATGAGCTGTATTCTCCAAACTTGGCCGAGATGTTGGCAGTCCTGAATCACCTTGGAGTCCTCCTGCAAGGTCTTCTGCACAGAACTTGGACTTTCCTAACCTTCAGCACACTGTTTTTAAAATCTCACCACAGGAATCAGTTGATCTAGGGACTAAACATGGCAGTGTGAGCACCAGTGGAAAAACAGCTGGTGTGGTTCACACAAAGCAGATCCTCCTCCTCCCTTGAGTGAGAAGCCTGTCTGAAAATGTCTGCAGGAGCCAAAGTAAGATGGAGATTAACTCTGTCCCCAGCTACACCCCGCTGAACATTGTGCTGGTAGGCCATCCAGCTCAGAACAAACTCATCTATACGTGTAGTGATAATGCACCATTAACGACAGATGGCATAGGCTGGCATTGCATTTTTATCCGAAGGCTCCTTCTGGCTCAATTACAGACCACACCACAGGCAGCACTCAGTCACTGACAAGGCATCTTATTAATTTAAAAACTGGGACAGAATAGATTATGAACAGGAAATTAATTCTATTGGGCAGCATAAACTTTAAATTGGCAAATATTCCAGGGATACTAGAGTGGAAGCAAGCAAAGAGATAAATAATGAAACTACAGATTAGGCCATTTAGCTATGCATTAAGCCTTGACACTTTTCTCAACATTTTTGCAGAATAGTTACCTTCCCTGGTATATCTTTTCTGAGGCCTATTTATCTGGTGATCTCTGGAAAAACAGAGTGGGAAACCTGAGAACATATTTAGAAAAATAATTTATGAAGACTTACTGTTTATGTTACACGGGCAGAAATCTTTTCTTAAATCGGAAGCAAGATCAGCATATGCATGAAGAGTGGAAATTCACCCACAGCAATACTTGCAGTTGAAAATGTTGTTTGAAAAAGGATAAATTGTGGGGAAATAAATCCTGAATCCTCATCCAACTTGTAATTTTTTTCACAAACGAAGCTTAATGTTATCAACAGCAACATGAGGTAGCCTGGGTAAGATTCACCTGTCTGCAGAGGGTCAAAACAAGCTCTGCAGCCTCAAAACAGCCTTGAAGAGGGATGGAAGTGCAGATGTGCTGCCCAGCAATGAAGAGCATCTCTCAGGCTTCAAATCCTCTATGAATGCAAGCTGGCAGGTCTCTCCAGTTACACAAAAACACACTGGAATGAACCAAATCCTGCTCCAGCGCAGATCAGTCACAAATCCTTGCCCTTGTGGGTATGCACCCATACCTACGGCAAGTGCGAGAGCTGGCTGGAAATGCCAGAGAAAGAATCACTGCCTCTTGGGTCCAGCAACGCCCTCATTTCCCTTTGCAAAGAGAAACTGCTTTTCCAGGGGCTGTGTGCTGGGAGTGTGCCAGGAGGGACATGAGGTGCAAGATGAGTAGTTACAAGTATACCGCTTCTCCCTGCCCAAGAAGCAGCAATGATAACCCTTTCCCTCCTTGCAAGAATACCGCAAGGCCACTCCACCATAACCAGTAAGGTGTGCAGATACTCAGACAAAGAGAGCCATATAAACCCCTTATGGATACACAGCCCTTAGGGAGCTATCGTTCTGGTGGTATTTCTTAAGATTTGCAATACAAGAGATAAATGGAAGAATTATCTCAAAGCAATTCCCCAACAGTGGGAATGCTGAATTGCCACAATGAGGGAAACTGCTTAACACCAGCCATGGTTGGTGGGAGCCATCAAATCCACAGGATCTGGCCCTATCCTTCTCTTCCCTTGACCCTGACGCTGAGGGAACCAGCCTCATTTGTAGTCTGGTGAAAGATTTATACAGTTAAGCAAATAAGAGCATAGACAGCCTGGTAATACCAAAATTATTTCCCATATTTGTTGACTGATTTATTCCTTTGTCTAATTGTGAAAGCAGCTCACTAATGAATGGAAAAAGACTCCACATGGCCAGCA